GTTTCTATCATATTCAGATGTACATATATATATTTATAGTTTGATATATCAATAGACATAAAAAGGCGTACCCGCTCAATTGTAGCGGCAATCAATAAACGATTTTTTCTCTGATATATTTTCATAATTGAATTGTAGCAAAAAATAAAAAGATTATTTTTGTTGAAAAATTAAGCCAAACATCAAAAGAGATTGAGACACACACACACACAAATCATAAGGTTAAAGATTAATGTTGAAAGGTTTGAAGAGATAGAAAAAAAAAGATAATTATTGTGGAGAGACCAGAACAAAGAAAACCATCAATTGAATAACTATGAAAAAGAATTACAATTAACTGAAAGGAATTACAATAAATTGTGTCCATTTGTACTTAAAGATTGTTCAAATCGCAGCCTTGATCCAACTCTGGGTATGTAGACTCGAATGCGAAACGAGGAAACGTAAGGATCGTAGTGCTCGATGTACTTTTTGGCGTTGTATGCCATTTTCTCTGTGAGTTTCAGTTACGTACTGACGCGCTTGTCTCCGTTCCAATTGACGTTATTGATTTCCTTCATCTCGTGCCACTTATGATTGAGATCAACGCAGTTGCACTTGTTGGTTTCGTTCATCTGTTCTTTCGATTCCACTACCTTTTAATGGAAATAACTCTATGAAGCCTTATAGATGTTGATTGTAAACTCATCCATCATCCAAATTGAGAATCCATAACTTTAAGTCCCAAATGGCTACCAATTAAATCTTTCACCTGCAAATTCTTCAGTCAAACCATATCAAAGCATTGAAATTCGACACTCGACAGCTGCCCATATAGTTTTGTAACGCAATGTAATACGTTTAGATCCCAATTTATCGTTGGTGCCAGGTTATTCGTTCACACTTGCTGTCCAACTCTTGGATTGGAGCGTGCTGTTGCTGCCGCTGCTGTTGCTGTTGCTTCTGTTTCGGTGTCGCGCACAAATCAAATTCAAATTAGAACACACGAAAAACACACACGAATGCGGGCCAATTATGCAAATTTCTTAACGTCTGTCTCTGACAACACAAAAGCAACAACAAAAATTTGCATATCGGTCAATTGTTGCACGATTTTGTGGTCTGCTCTGCGCACGCGTTGCAAATACCTATAAGTGTGAACCAAAATTCACAATTTTTAGTGTAATGTTTCGTATTTCTGTATTTCTGTATTAAAGTGGAATATTTTTAGTGTAACGCACGTTCAATGCCAATATGACACCCCCACTGCTTTGCATAAACACACTTTTGTTGCTGGTCGGTCTTTTTTTGGACTTACTCGTATAAATAAACATGGTACTGGTACCGTGGTATGTTTTTTATACCCGATACTCAAAATGAGTATTGGGGTATATTAGATTTGTGGTAAAAGTGGATGTGTGTAACGTCCAGAAGGAATCGTTTCCGACCCTATAAAGTATATATATTCTTGATCAGCATCAATAGCCGAGTCGATTGAGCCCTGTCTGTCTGTCCGTCTGTCCGTCTGTCCGTCTGTCCGTCTGTCCGTCCGTCCGTCTGTCCGTCCCCTTCAGCGCCTAATGCTCAAAGACTATAAGAGCTAGAGCAACGATGTTTTGGATCCAGACTTCTGTGATATGTCACTGCTCCAAAAATATTTCAAAACTTTGCCCCGCCCACTTCCGCCCCCACAAAGGGCGAAAATCTGTGGCATCCACAATTTCGACGATACGAGAAAACTAAAAACGCAGAATCGTAGAAGATGACTATATCTTCTAGATTGCAAAATCTGAACCAGATCGTATAATTATTACAGCCAGAATCACGAAAACAATTTCACTCTTTCTCGCTCTGTCTCACTCTAACACACAGGTTTCATGGTCGGTTTTGCCAATTGCAAAATATGAGTTCAAGGATCTCAGAACCTATAAAAGCCAGAGCAACCAAATTTGGTATCCACACTCCTGTGATATCGGACCTTGACCGTTTCCTGTCCAAATTTCGCCACACCCCCTTCCGCCCCCGCAAAGGACGAAAATCTGAGGCAACCACAAATCTCAGAGACTATTAAGGCTAGAGTAACCAAATTTGGTACACACACTCCTTTAAGATGTCACTATAAAACGTATATCTCAGAATTTCGCCCCACCCCCATCCGCCCCCACAAAGGACGAAAATCTGTTGCATCCACAATATTGCAGATTTGAGAAAACTAAAAGCGCAGAATCATAGATAATGACCATATCTATTAGATTGCTGAATCTGGATCAGATCAGATCATTTTTATAGCCAAAAGGAACAAATCAATTTGCAGTGGCTACGCAGCGCCCGACGTCACGCTCAGACTGATTTTCTGTCTCTCTCGCACGCACTCTTTGTCGTGTCGTTAAATATTAGCGGCGTCTGCCAGAGGAGAGCCATACTGACTTAGTATCGGGTATAACCGTAGAGTTGCGGTGTCCGCAGCAACTCACAACGTTCCCCCTCGTTTTTTTTTCTTTTTGTGCACCCACACACATTTTGGACTATTTTTAAACAAATGGCAAATCAATCAATGCTGTGGGGGAAGTCGAAAAATGTAATGCAAAACCAAAAATGAGGGATTAACCTACATAGAAACACTCGACGTGCACATACTATATTTCTGAGGCAAGACAATTTCTGGCCAAATTACGCATCCGATTGATATGGAAATAACTGGAAATCAATACCAAATCGACCGCAGAAACCTCTCCATGCAAAACTACTTTCGTTTTGGGCAATTATTGTAGCGAATACAAAAAAAAACAAAAAACTATTTCAAGCAGTTGTAGATATTTCCTTACTGCGGTTGGGTGACAGAAAACCTGTAAAGAAATATAATAATAATCAAAATAATTACACTGACCTTCGGTGAAGTGCCTTGGGTCCGCTACATAGCCACCACCACACCACAGTGGACTTGAACGGATTTTTTTGAAAATGATTTTTTCTGTGGTTATTTCGCCTTGTTATTTGTAGTACTAGTTGTGGCTAGAACTCCACTGGGAAATGTACAACAAAAATTAGTTTCAAATGTCTAAATTATACAAAAGCTTCCTTTACAAAATATGCTAGAAACATTTCCATAAAACTCATTGCATACAGCATTCCCTGTAAAAGAGAATAACTTTTTACTATCAAAATATATGATCATTTGTCCTACAAAATTTAATTAGCTACTTCCAAGCTCCTCCTTTAGATGGAGGAATTCCTTTTTAATATCAAATTAAATCATAATTTATTCTATAAAATTTACTTAAATTATTTACAACATATAAAAAATTTCCAACCAATTTCATATAAGATAGAATAAAAGACTTAGGCAACAAACTTGATACCTTATTTATTTCTACTTTTAATTCTTAAAGCTAGAATACTGTATAATTTCGGAAGATTTAACCACTTCAAACAGCTGTATAATTCTCTAACCAGTCTTCAAAAACAAATACTTAAGCAACGAACTTGATTGAATTCTACTGTGAATTGCTAATATCGTTCCAATTTCCATATTCCAAAGTCTAATGCATTCCCATTTGATTTCTTATGTGCAATCAGCGCAACCTTTTGTCTAATAAGTCAAACGATAAGAAAACATAAATAAATTGGCAAATCTGGGGCTCCCTTTCGCCTTTTGACTGCTCCCCAGCGTAACATTAAATTTATGCCAACGCTTAATTATACAAAATTACGCTTAATTAAATTTTAATTAACACAATCAACTAGCGTACACACAGCAGGAACAAAGTTAAAGAAGAAACCGGCAAAACGTGTCCAAAATACGAAACCAATTTGTGAATGTGGAGTACGGTCTGCGTGCCACAGAAAAAATTCCAAAAACCAAAACAGCAAAAAACGAGACTGCAACAACAACAACATTGAGGCAGCGTTTATTTCTAGCTAAAAGTGCTGAAAGATTCAACGCATTCGCCAAAACCGAAACTGAAAACCAAAAACCAAAACGAGTGCAAGTTCAACGGGGAAAACGGGTTTTCCATTTCCCTCCCGGCCACAAAAAACACACAAACAGCATATGAGGAAGTTAGTGCCTGAGCAGCTAAGCAAAGCGGAGTGCAGAGTGGTGGAGTGGGGCGGTGGAAGGCTTAGTAACAGTTACTATTTAGCGGTCGGCCACAGCCACAGCATAAAATATTCACTGAAATTGCTTTTGCTCTCTCTCTCTGTGATTAGGAATGGGGTGCAGGTGGGGGTGGAGTGCATCCGCTGCTCTGTCTGCGCTAAATTTAGACCTTTTCTTTTGCGGATTTTAGCTGTAAGACACAAGCGTTTCAATGTTAATGCTGTTCAACACTTATTTTGACAGCCTTAATGGGTGTAACAGTGGGACCAGAGCGATTGTTCTGAGCAGCCTTGAAAATCTTGAAGATTTCTTACACTAAAATCAGAAATTCGTTTTAATTGTTCTGTTGATCTGACAGGCCCGATCTCCAAAGCACTGTTTATCAACAGAAAAAATAAATAAATAAATGAAGTTCTTGCACAATTTGGACAATTACAAATGATGTGACTGTCATCAGGGGACACGCGTATGGTTGAAGCGGAGAATCCTCTCCACCTGACTACCTGAAATAATAGCGAAACAACGAATTAAATTAAATCTAAACACAAAAAAAGAGCTACAAGTGGACACACATGTCCGAGATGTGCTGCCTGTTGCCCCGAGCTCTGAGGCGGAAATAGACTGTGACATCCGCTGACAGCGAAAAGGAGAGAGAGGGAGACAATCAAAGAATCTGAGACCTCTGCCGCTCTATAGCTCTGTCTCTCCTCTGGCTCTATGGCTCTTCCCATATCCGCTGGACGTTGGCCGCAAATTTAATTAGAAATCTGCACGACGCGACTGGGGAGACTTCCATGTCAGTTCAAAGCACTTTTGCTTCCGCCAAGAAAACAACAAAAACTACAATACTCTTTTCTACTATACGTATAGGTACATTTTCTCACTTTTGCAAAAGATAATTAACTAACAAAATTTCTTTCAGCTCTGCTCTTGTCATTCCAGCCAGCGCGCCAGCCCACACAGACGCAGTACAGTCGCAGTCACAGACTCAGTCTCAGCGGTAGAAAAGACTCAAATTAGACCGTGAAAGCAATAATATCAAAAGAGAGGCAAATAACCAGCAAAGCGTGCAAAAGGAAAAGCCAAGAAAATTATCGTTTGGGAGGGGGCAGTTCTTTTGTACACACAGTAGCAGTAGCCAGGGCCTAAAATAGCTAGAAAATTATTATTATGATAATAAATTAAAGTTGCCATTAATTTAGCCAAAACGAAACGCGAAGCAGCTCGTAGCCAGCTCGCAGTCAGTTCGCAGCCAGACCGACCCTAGACCCGCTGGACGGTAGCATAATAACAATAAATAATAATTTGAAATAGGCGAAGAACCAGAACAAAAAGGCAGAAGAAGCCACTGCAGCCTCCTACAATCTCCTCCTCCAATCCTCTAGAGAAAGAGAGCCGCAGCAACAGCAAAAAAGCTTAAACAAAAAGAAGACTCTGAAGAAAACCAAAAGCAGCTCGAGCGCATCGAGCGTGCAAATTAAAAGCGCACAACAGTAGCTCCCGAGGAGCTCCAACCAGAGAGCTATAGCCACAGCAACATGGAAGTGGCTACAACAAACAATCACAGTCAGAGCCATCATCATCATCATCATCATCTGCAGGCTGTGGCAGCAGTGGCAGCCCAGTCCCATGGCAGTGTTGGTGTTGGTGGTGGCGGGGGGGTCTCCGGCTCCGGCTCCCGTTCCCCCTTTCAGCGTGAGGTGCGTGAATGGCAACGCATCGATCCCAATACTGGTGCCCTGTTTAGCGGACGTTTGGAAGCAGATCGCTGGATAAATGGACCACTGAACAGCTACGGCAAGGTGAGTTACGAAATCTAGAGATGGTAACGTGATTAGCTACTAGTTTAAGTGGAGCCCTGAACGAACTCACAGTTCTGTCTGAAAATGAGAAAATGCTCTCGAGGTTTGTGATTTTTACGAACCCTCAATCGGTCATCGGAAGAATTCTTGAACTATCGTATGCGCAGAAGTACCATCTCCAAACACAAAATCGAAAACTACAATGCGATTACTTTTGGCTCTGATTGATGGAACCCATGGATGGTCTTCCAGCTCTTCTCTGCTCCCGTCTAGACCTAATTGCTGTTGCTCTTTGTTTGTCCATCGTCTTTTAAATGAAATTGAAAGGTCCAGTCCGCTGCTCTCCGCTCAAGAATCCCTCCAGACACTAGACACTAGAGACTCGGCTCTCTAAATGGAGAGGCGTACACTAATTTAGAAGAGACTGCGGCACTTGCCGCTTGATTGCTGGTTTAGGTTTCCTGGCTTCCTTCGATTTTAATCAGTTAATAGTTTATTTAGTTCAAGAATACCCAAGGCAATGCCTCTGTAGGAATACAACAAAAAGAGAAACAGAAGTACGAAAGGAGACGAAACGATCAAATCATTGGAAATCAATTGGATACTAATTTTTTATGAAGCAAAAATTAAATTAAATAGAAACAAGCATGGAATAACCATAAAAGCTCATATATTGGGATAATTTCGAACCTTTCAAATGCATTAAATAAATATTTTTGTGTAATTTCGAATATTTGGAAAGTGCCATTTCAGTTGGCAGACAAATGTCTGGCATTTAATGATTGGGCAAGAACACCACACCGTTAGCAAATCCAATAACTTAAGAACCTGAATGATGTTGGCTGGTGGTTAGCGAATACCGCAGGTCCAATTGGACACTGGCTTCGTTTTGTGTGTCAGGCAACTTTTTCCCCGAACGCAACTGCAACTCGAACCGCAGACATGGACACAGACCAAGCCATGGACATGGCCACAGATACTGCGATACGATGACCGTTTTTACTCAACCATAATTAACAGGTCACACGCACACTCTCACATCTCGGTGAAGCGAAACAATCGGAGAGATAAATGGGATCCGAATCCGAATTGCTGAAATACAGAAAGAGAGAGATGAAGACGCAGTCGCAGTTGCAAACGATGTGCGCCACCTATGTAGAGATTTCAGTTAAAAAACTTACGAATACGAATCCTCATCTTTTCCATCATGTCTGAGGGGGGCTTTCGGTTTTATCTTTTCGCGAGAAACACAAAGATGATAATTAATTCGAGCTATTCTTCAGATTTCACTTGTCTTTGGGCTATGGCTTGTCTGTCTTACCATTGATTGCTCTAGAATTTTGTCGGTTAATTATAAATGGTGAAGCACTTCGGGGGCCTATCGTTAATTTTATGCCTATTCATCCACTGGCAGTCCAACAAGCCGTCATCATTCCCATCCCCATCATCCCCACCATCCTCATCATCATCATCATCTTGGTCGTGTGTGTGGTCAAGTTGGAGTCTTCGCGCCTCGAGTGCCTCCAAGACAAACAAAAAACCAAATAAAATTTCGACTGAAATAGTACCACAGATACTTAAACAGATCTAGACTCTAAGATACTCTACTCCATTCTAGCCGATTCGCTCTGCTCTGATCTGATATGCTCTGCTGCTAGAACTTCCATCAAATGCAATGACATCATGGCTTCGGTATTGGCGGTACTCAGACTCGAACTCCAGAGATTGATCCATATAATTATTTGATTTTGTTGTTGATTTTTTTGATGAATTCTGATCGGCTTATGAGACCATAGTATCACTACCCTGTCGTGAATGAGATCATAGTGGAATATCTTGTGTTGACCTTAGGTATTGGATATTTAGTTGTATTTCAAAATATTGCGAATTCTCTGAGTACTTTTTTGGATTACAATTTTTGAGAATTTTACTCATGAAGTTCATTGTGAATGCGGATGTCCCATCTTATCCTAACTAGCCATCAATTTGGCACTCTTCCTTTCCTATTCCCTCAAACATTAGTATCTCTTTAAAATCCTAAATAGTTTAATAATTATTTTATAAAGTACTAGGTGGCAAGCCCCCCACACATTCGCTTCGATCATGCGCCAAATTCCAGTATGAGTAACATATCGGATGGCGACCCAAAACTTTTTTTTATAATAGAGAGATATTTCCGTATTGCAAATACCTAACCATTTATCAGGTTACCTCTTTTGGTTGGAAGATCAGTTATTATACCAACAACTGTAATGATCGGCTGCGGTTCAGTTCAAAGTTGACATTTGAAATGCAATCTTGCTGGATCCAAAAAAAAAAAATGCGATCATTTAATCACCTGGAGCCAAATCATTTGCCGATCATTTAATGACCGAACAGTCACTCAATTTGGAGACTGTTACATTCACCCGATCGCTGTTGATATGCCCTTTTGCAGCGATACTTTTATGACTGCAGGGTATTCGGGAAGAAAGACACAGAAACAAGCCATTGAAAGTTGTTTCATTCCGCTGACTTTGTACCGTACCTTATCGCGATTGAACTTTGTTGCCACTGAGCGGCTGACGATGCCGATGTCTCGATGTCGAGGCCTGACCAAAAGATGAAAGAGGCTTGGGAGAGGCGATCAATACAATCGACGGGAAACGATCAGCAGTCGTAAGAATTTGCTAAGAGTAGTCCTAGTGCCGCTGCCAGTGTCGGTACTGCCGCATCAGTTTCAGTTTAAAGAGGTGCTCGATTCGATTTGATTGCCAAGTCCGGGATTTATATCAACCGATGTCCCGCTGCTCTCAGATGTTCGGATGCTCTCAGATGCTGTGCCGACAAAGTCAATGCAAAGGCAACGCTTGTGCCGGCATAGATCACAGTGAAATCAATTTGGCAATAGTCAATAACCGAGAGGAGAGCAGAGCAGATCGCAGATCGCAGATCGAAGACGCACCCAGGCATCCAGTCATCCAGTAACCGTTAGGCAACAGTTAGACACACACACACAGATGGATGGATGGATAGATCCATGACAACTTCTTCATTAGCATTATGGATTGTTGCAACAGGCCAACCGACAACAGAGCCGAACCGAACCTAACCCAAGAAAAGCAATGGCAAAAATTTACATTTTGCAAGATTTTTCCAACATGCAAGCGCAAGCTCAAGCTCCAGCATTTGAATTATTTGCCGGCAGTTGTAGTCTCTGTTTCTCTATTTCTGGCCATGTTGCCACAATGTTGCAGCCGTCTAACGGTACAAAGCCGCTGGCAATGCCGCCGCCGCCACCGCCTTTGTGGGTCACTAGGTTGCCACAAGCACAAGTCTAACCAGAAAAAAAGATGCTGCAAGTACTGCAGAAGACCAGAGGAAGATGCAGCTAGCCAGCCAGCCAGCCAACCACTCGAGAGTTTTTAACTTGTGGTCAAGGTGTGACGACTCGTTGTGTGTACTGGCATCTACTTGTATCTATGTGTATCTACAGATAGGAGTACATATATGTTTGCTCTGTAAGCCATTAGGCCATTTGGCTTTGGCTGCCACACGTAAATTACTTGCAACTAATTGAGGATGTCAACTGACGTGTCTTACTTCAATTAAGTGCTTCCTCTGCCATTAATGAACCCCATAGTGCGACTGAATAAGCGATATGAGGAAAATATGGATGGATGGATGGATATGTGGTTGGCGGGAAACGACTTGGGGCATCAACTTCAATGACGCAAACCGGGGTAAACATACATACATACTCGTACATACCACTTGTATGATTTACTGCGAGCACTCGCCTGCAGCCCCATGCTCCATGCCCCTACCACTCTCGACTATATAGAGATATAAAGCCAACGAGATCGTGACAGAAATAATGCATATAAAAATGTATATTATTATAGTTTAAAAGGCACAAAAGGTCCAACAAAATGGCCTGTGCAAAAAAGCGCCTCCCGCCGGAGAGCGCAGGAGAGCAATTTGTTGGGCGCACACTGGTGTGGGTAATAATTGGAATTGGGAAAGAATCGAAATCCCGTAATTATGTATCGAACAAGCAAAATTTCATCTGGATTCTACGACAACCATTTATTCTGTTTCACAATTCCCTCTCACAATCATCATAAATGGACAAACATTCCATTTCCCATTCTTTACACTTCTTGAAGTTTTTCAGATTTCCAAGATGTTCCATTCATAAGCGATAATTACCATTACCATTTGAATGGCCTGCATCCCACTGTGCACTGTGCAAGGTATGATGTACCAAAGTCAGTGCCAGCTAAAAATAAAAAGAGTCAACGCTTTGGCATGTCTATGCAGGCGATCTGTGTGTGAGAGCTGCCAGCCATACAGCCATCCTAGCCAGAAAAGGCGACATGCATGCCACAGACTGAAGGACTGAAGGACTGAGAGACTGAGACAGGCGGATAGACACAGACATGGGGCATATGCCATATGGCAGAGCAGAGTCCACACAGCAAGAGCCGGAGTCAGCATCAGGGCAGGAGATAGACAGTCAATCTTATGGCCACAAACAGCCAGACAGCCAGCCACGACCAAGCAGACGACGCCGAAGACGATGTCGACTGCGGTGATGATGATGATCATCATCATCATCATGGTGTAGCATCATTAAATTTGTTTCAGAGCGTGGCCCAGGCCCAAGCGAAAATATTTTGGCATACTCGTACTCCGTAGACCATAGACTATAGAGACCAGACGCTAGAGCAAAAGCCAAAAGCAAAGAAAGAAAAAAACCAAAAGCAAAGCCAAAGTCTCTTCCTCTACATCATCACGACTTTGGCTGTTATAATATATGCGAGAGCTGGGTTGGTGGCTATGGCAAGTCGTGGCAAAGTCTCTGAATTTCATTGAACCTTCAACTTGACTTTGCGATTCGGATTTGGGATTTTGGATGCAGCATTTTCAATTTGGTCTTCGGTACTTACGAGGCGATCTGCTGCAGGCCCGGCTAGCTCTTTCAGGTCGTATATACTCTGTGGTTGCAGTGGAGTGGAGTGGAGTGTAGAGTGTGGTGTGGCGGCTGCTGGTTGCTGGCTGCTGCTCAAGTTCGAGATCATGACACTGATCGCTGGCTGATCATTTTGGTCATGCTAAAATAATTCATTTACAGTTGGCTTTCTTTCGCCAGCTGTTTGCGGCTGCTGTTGCTGCTTTGATTGAGGCACCCCCTCTGGGGGACAGCAAGCTGTGAGTTTCAACAGCCATGCAGATTGGCACAGCTTAATTAGCCCGAGCCCGAGACAACGAGACTCCAAGATCAAGACCAAGACTACAACCAGGCCACAAAAACTTGCCTGCCAGGCAGCCAGCCAGCCTACACATGGCCAACAACAGAAAGCTAAAATGGCACACAGCAAGACTCTGCGAAACGGCAGAACAGCTAACATCGAACAGCATTTGGTTAGAACGAAAAGAGGTCATCGATAGACAGGCACACACTCGCTGCACAAAAAAAAAAAAATATAATACCACATTGCGAAAAAGGAGGTTCAGTGCAACAGCTCTCCAAACAAAGTACAGAAAAAAAGAATCTCCTCCTGACCATGGGGCGATATGGCGTGAGAAACTCTGGCAGAACGTGCATGGCCCAAGGGTTCGAAACTTTGCTGTGCTTAAACTCGTACTCGTAATTTATGTCTGTCTGTTCCCTTTCTTGGTCACAGTCTGGGTCCCGGATGCCGGGTCCCCAATAATCTGTGCTCAAGGATGAGTGTGACTTTTGGGAGACGCAGAAATTATTATATTTCAGGCCTGCGGTCAATGGAGCAGCTGAAAGTTAAACTGCGACCGAGCTGAAGTGAACAAATGAAACGAATTGATTGAGAACTTTTCGAAGGGATATAACCCTGAACTGAAATTCGGATACGGTGCATAACAGAAGCTGAAGACTGATGGGAACTCAATGAGCTTGGAGTTTGAGAGAGAAGAACCGTTGATGATATCTACTCGCTACTCGCTACAGTTAAGACTCGTTAGTGATGGAACACAGTTAATTGAAATCGATTCTGCGATAGTTTGGAATCAAAATGATCCATGATGGAACACCAGGGCTACCAAAAAACGAATGGGAAATTACCGTCTTGATCTTTATATGCTACCTAGAAATATGTATCTGAATCTACTTCCCATTATTACACAAAGAACTGTAAGTCTCCCGCTGAAGTAATACTGATTATTTTCCCATCTAATGAAGCTAATTATAAAGATCTCACCACAGTCTCTGTCTATGGCATATTCTCTAAGACAAAACAAAGAGGCAAAAAGTCTAGAGCCTCAAAACCCATGACATGACTCAACCCCACAACAAAATGCATAGAATATGAATATTTCATTGTTTCTACCGCCCTCCGGAGCAACAGAACATTCAAATTTTTGTATATTCTATAAAGACAATGCTGCACTTTGACTCTGAATCAGCCGTATATTGTGCTGCAGCATTTCCATTTGGTCATTGACACGAATGGGCCACAAAAACTGGACATGGACATGGACACGAGGACAAGCTGGGCGGAGCGTTGCAGAGCGGACAGGCCAACAGCGAGTTCAAGTTTTTATTTGGGGCATATTATACATTTTTAGCACTATAAATCATCAAAGCAATCGATTGCCACAATCGATCTTTGGCCATTTCAAATGTGTTTTCCGCTTTTGTAGTGTTTTTTTTTTACATAGATACCCTTTGCAGAAGGAGAAACATTATTTTGGGCAGAGTTTTGAAAGAACACAAATTCGGTCTGATTTTGTGAGGTAAAATTGATCAATATTGGATGACAATATCATGCAACGAATGGTCGAAACGTTAGTCTCTGTTAGAAACATACTCAATCTGCAAAAGCGTATGACAGACTTCGGCTTCCACAGCTGTCCTTTCTCTCCTCTGTTTTTTATTTCTTCTGTGGTGTGTCATGGCACGACCCAATGCACGGATCTGCTAATTGTTGGAGTCTATGGGTGCAAAAGGGTGCAGTTTGCAGTTGCAGTCGGAGTGAGCTCTCGAGAGTCTCTAGTTTGATTTGTGGCTAACGTTGGGTCACGTGTGCCGTAGCGAGCGGGCCCAGCTGTCCAGATAAGAGACGCACGGCCTGGCACGAAGCACGGAGAAGTGATCAAGCGGCTAGCGCGACGCTTGACGGTCAAGTGTTTCGTCTGGCAACTTTCATACGACCCGTTGCCGAATGCCGAATGCCATACGACAATCCAAACACTTTAACGCCCCACACCGGGACACACCCACAAAAAAAGCCCATACATAGATATATACATACAAATACTACATTTAGATATACCGACAATCCCCATCGGATTGCTTACTTAATGCTTTATTTATATCATTTGTAAGAGATTTGAATGTTTGTTTTGGCAGGGAATGGCCAAAACGTAGCCGTTTATCGGCCGTAATTGAGATATTAATTAGATCAAGCGGAATCGGGTGCTTTTCGAGTGTTCGGATCGCTACAAAGGAATGAAAATGTAATGAAAAATAATAAATGAATTTACAAAAATTGTGGAAGCACTTAAATAAATCGTCAACATAAGGAACTCTTAAGAACTCTTGAACTCCTATGGAATGCAATTTCGATCATAAGGAAACCACTGACCATTCACTAGGGATCTACACTTCCAACAATCCAACCAATCGTCCAACTAAATTTACAAAAAATCTTACTAAAATACTAAAATGCCAGCACAAGAAACCAAAAACCAAAATTAATTTTAATACAACTCCTTTGATCCACTCATTATCCTGCCATCACTGAATCCCGCAACTCTCTTTCTCTCTCCCATCTCTCTCTCTCTCCGCCAGATATCCGATTCCCAAAACATCTCACAGCCAAACGGCACACAGCACACACAACGCAAGCAGTTGGAGGTGCTGAAGGCACGCACCGCCAACGGCGCCATGCAGGTGATACGCACCCAGACAGTACAAAAGACCTCATCCACCAGCACATCGCGAGGTTGGGCCACATCCTCCACATCCACCACGACCCGCACCAGCAACGGCCACCTCGGCAGCAGCACTGATCCTTCTCCGCCATCCCATATGCCGTCCATCTGGGCCCCGCCATCCATTTCGAGGCCTTCCTCTCAGAGTGTTGACATCTGTGAGCTTAGCGATGATAATAGCAGTCTCAGTCGCAGTCTCAGCAGCGATGTTGGCATCGTATCCCCATCCGCGTCTGCATCCGCGTCCATGTCCACGCTGAGCAAGCGCAATGGCCAGGAGCTCATCGACGATCATGTTGATTTTGTTGTGATTAATGGTGAAGCCAGCGATCAAGACGCTGACGACGTCGTCGTCGCTCATTTGCACAAACTCGGCCACAATTTGTTACCCGATACAGCTCCAAGTCTGAAATTGAGCAATCTAATGGTAAGTCCGAAGCCCAGTGCCCATATGCCCTTTGGCGGCCATTGGCTATTGGCCAGAGACTCGACTCAACTCGACTCGAACATGCGGTAGTCCAAGCTTTTGTGCCTCTACAATTTTTCACTCGCTCGCTTCTTGTGGCATTTCTTTTGGTTTTTGTTATTTTGGCTCATTAGCATGCGCCGATGTTTGCTTGTGTTTTTCTGCTTTTGCCTTTGCTTTTGCTTTTGCAGTCATTTTTCTTCCGAGTCTGCTGGAGGAGTACGGGTAATCTCCTGCCACGGCCACGGCAATGACCGAAAATGGCCAGTTGTTAACGGTCTCGTCTCTGATTATTGTTGTTGTTATGGGGAAAATGCTTATACTCGGAGTACACTGAGAGCTGCGGGAAAACAAATCATGAAAACTTGTAATGATCCATGGTGGGGGTAGGTGGGAAAATGTTGATGGCAGGGACATCAGCTGTCGAACAGATTGATGTGAATTGCGGAACCAAATGATAATGGGGTATAGAAACCAAGAAGGCAGACTAAGATATTATACGCCTTCATCGGCAGAAACTTGATTTGCAGTTTTCTCTTTTATTATATTCTAGAGTACTATATTTTCCTGGTTTCCCCAAAAGACTCCCAAACCTTGATTGAGCTATCGATATGTATTCATTATATCAATGGCTAGCACGATATTTAATACATAGGTATATCATCGAAAGATTCGAAATACATATTGGTAATCCAAAATTACTTTTTCCGATACCACGATCATCATTTTCTTCTCACTTCCCATCTGTAGATCCGACACACGCCCTACCTTTGGGGATTTCCTTTCAAAAGATGAGGTCACCTGTCACAGCCATAAAGGGAGTATCCGTAGATTAATAGACACAATCTTCAGACAGGCTACCAAAGAAAATTAACAAAAGTCACGGCTCGTCTCCACTTGGCAAAATGCCATATATCACTCCAGAAAAAACACTAGACTAGACGACACCACACCCCCGCGTTTCGTCTGACTGTCTGTCTGTCTGGTTCTAATGAAAGGTTGAGTCAACCATCGCATCGAAATGAAATGGAATGGAATGAAAATCAATAATAATTGCCCAGGCCCAGTTAGGCGATGCTTAGCACTTCTATCGGTCGGGACGGGACATTTGGGTCATGACCACAATGGAAATTTCTTTGGCAACTCTCGCTCATTAGGCAGCAAACAGTAAAAACTGTCTAATTATTGGGCATCTGCGAAAGTGTCTTGCCTCAAGACCTCAACGCCCACAATCAGCAGTTGGTTCTGGTCCATAAATCTTGACACGAAAAATTTCTTTGGCAACTTATGCTCGTTCGTAAAAGTAAAAGATAGAAATGTAGTAACAAATAGACAAGTAGGAAGAGATATTCAATAAGGAAAGATATACATTTTCGAGAGGGTTTCACCACAATGGTTTTAAAAAAGATGGTAAAATTAAGAAACCTATAAAAAAAGTTATTGGTGAAAACTTGATTAGTTTTCATTGGTAGGAGAAGTATTTGAAGGAGATGCTGGGATCTTACTTTACAGCCATCAGGAATACAGGAATGTAGGAGAGATAGATGTTAGATTCATATTCGAAAAAAATTGAAACTAAACCGAGCCAAAAGAGCTAATCATGCATTAAAAATAAAAAATCAGTTACTAGCTACGAGAAAGCTATGTTAGTATTAGTAAGTATTTAAGAAGAGTCCGTGCTTGAGACCATCTGCGGTTCATCCAAGTAATAATTCGACCTCAAATCGGTAGGAACAAAAAGAGCTTCTAGCGTATCTAATATGAATCGTGCATGCGGCTCAACAATTCAGGGCTATCAGGATCTATAGCTTTTCGGGATTTCCAAACACTCATTGCAACTTTTGGACATTGAATATTATTGAATGCTATGACAATCTCTAACAATCATCGTTAATTTTTATAACAAAATATCATATTCTTTCAATGCGGAAACTCATTTTGCCATGGCTTAAATTACAGACCGATTGCGAGTTAACTGCTAAGCACTTCCTTAAGCAGTTCCTGCCAAACAATGCACCCACTCTCATACCCAGTCCCAGTCCCAATCTCGCTCCACTCCTCCGAGAGTATACCCGTAACAATTACAGCAACAGCAATAATAAATATGTATAACCAGAACAAGAGACACCCGCACTCGAGCAAGCGCTATAATGCGCTCAGCTCTTCTTTGTGATGTGATTTTATATTATTTTATTTTTATATTTTTACTTTTTTAACCTGTGTTTTTTTTTGTTGTTGTTTCTGTCCATTTACAGAAAAGCAGTTCGAGTATTTCCAGCCAAAGCAGCAACAATTCAAATTTAACAACTGCAACAGCCACAGCGGGCAACACCCACAGAAGTGCGGGCAAAATAAGCCTACATGCAATTGTTGGACCAGAATCATCATCATCCACCACATCCACATCCACACCGTCGTTGTCGTTGTCGTCCGCATGGGCCAAGCAGCAGCAGCAGCAGGCCGACTTATATGGCCAGCCACCAGCCAGCAGCAGCAGCAGTCGCGTGGGTGTATCCCAAGCTCAGCCGCAGCCTGGTACTGGAGCTGGAGCTGGATCTGATGCTGACGTAGCTGTTGTTGTTGGTAGTACGCCAACGCGACTTCGTCGTGATTTGGAAAGTTTCCGGCATTATAACGATGACGCTGCCAACGACGATGATTTGCGGTGAGTGAGTGAGCAGCAGCAGCAGAATTGAATCTTTCGAAAACTCAAATTTCATGGCATTATCTGAATGGCTCTCCGATCCCAAGCACACACATTACTCGTACCTTTTATTTTTTCGGCAGGCTCAGTGCACGGCATCAGCGTCGCCAGCAGGTGTCCCAGTCGGTCTACGCACCACCCTTGGCATCCATCGGCACAGGACTGGGACTCCAGCGATCACGCTCCATATCCACGGATGATCTCAGCAACGATTGGGAGCGGAACGAGGAGCAGGAACAGGAGCCAGGCGAGTGGCGACGCGTCAGTAAGCTGCGTCGCTCCTTTCAGTCGCAGGATCATTACAAGACAGCCACGAAGACGTCCACCATCACACGGCCCCGTCCCCTTGACTTGCCCAGCAATTCGGTGAGTGTGGCCCGCATGCGAGCGGAGCTGGAGAACGGTCGCCGCCTGAACACGGCCATGCGGAACAATCACGTGGATCTGGCCGCCCTCGACACCATTTTGAACAACCCACAACAAACGACCAAGCCGACGGTGGCCAAGAGGAACACTTTCCTCACGGCCGAATCCCTGCAGGAAATACGCGGCAAGCTGAAGAAACTCTCCGACGAGAGCTTGTACAAGGAAGACTTCCTCGCATATCACCAGGCCAGACCCAAGCTCAGGGAACAATCCGAGGAGTTGCACGTTCCCGTGCAAGTGGCTGCCCCACTGCCTGCACCCTCCGCCTTCCGACCCGTCCACAACACCCACAGTCTGGAGTCGCGCCAACGTCAGAAGGACACCAGCTCCAGTGAATGGCATTTGCGTCGAAAGTCCTACGGCTTTGAGAAGATGTCGCCACCGGAGGATAAGAGTATCTTTCGGGTGGATGCCTCCACGGACAGTGGACTGGGACGCTCGGGCGAGCAGCTGGGCAATTGGTCGCCCACGGAGAGGGAACGAGAGCGCTCCGCAGCCGCGGCAGCAGCAACAGCTCATCTGAACAATGGTGGAGGCACCATTATACACTTTGGACGCCTGCCCAAGCCCCCTGCCAGTCCTGCCAACGAGGGGGAGCTGAGCAAACGGCACTCCATCGCCGTGGAAGAGACCTGGCGCGACATTCGCAAGACATCGCAGGTGCATGTGAATGGCGGGACTGTAGCTACCACCAGCACCAGCACCACTAATAGCAGCAGTCACCTTCAGCGGAGTAGTGCCCAGAAGCGAGTGGAATTCTGCAAGACAGAGGTACACTTTGCCGCCGAATCGGGCCGGGTGAACATTGTCGAGACAGATGGCAAGCCGCCGCCCACGAATAACTTTCGCCGACGACGACGCACCACCGCCAGCGGACCGCTTCAGAGTCTCGTGAAATCAGCCAGTGCCGGGACCAACAGCAGCAGTAGCAGCAGCACCTCGAGCAGCACAAGCCACGACAATGTGACCCACTTTGGGGATGATCCACAGCGACGCAAGACGATAGCCACCAGCACAGTGGCATACAGAGCCACTCTGATGGATCCCCCGGAGGTGGTTAGCCAGCCCACATCGACATCGACAGCAACATCATCCCAGGTGACAGTCACGACATTGGCCAAACCAGTTCTAGAGCCACGCTTCAGTCTGACGGAGTCGACGTCACGGAACAGCTACACCTCGACCAGTGGCGTGGATACGACAGACAATGAAACGGATGAGCTGTCCAACATTCGGGGGATACTCAAGAACAAGCCGGTGAAGCCGAAACCCTATCATCTGGGGGAGAATATCGAGAGTGCCGATGTCCTGTGGAGTGTCCCGGCAATGAAGGGGGAACGGGAGAGTCCCTCAGGCAGGGATAGTGGTAAGAGTCTTTCAAAAATTGAAATGTATGTATAATTGATTTCTTATATGTATATTTGTACCCCCAGGAATCACTAGTGACTCTCCCATATCAGTTAAATCGGTGGCCGAACGCATACGGATTGTGGAACAGCGACAACAAAACCAGAAGCAACCCTCGCCCGCAGGCAATGGATACTCGACGAAGATCAATGTGAGCCTGGGCACGGATGAGTGGCCAGAATCAGGTTGGTATTTGAAATACTCATAGTCGGGTAGTTCTTTATCTAGTTGGTTTGCCTGTAGATTGTGTTGTAGATTTGTCTAGCAAATATTTTGTTGGTTAGTTTATTTCTGGGATTTAGCAATGGACTCCACTCCACTCCTCTCCTCGAACTCTCTGCTCTCTGCTCTCTCTTTGAATTGAACTCGTAATCGCTCTCGTAATGCATGTGTGTCCTCCACTCTCGTAATGCTGCTTCTCTACTCCTCCATCTAATGCTACACTTAATCTCAATTTCTAACCCAAAATAAAAAACTGAATAACCAATCTTGTCGCGGAGCAACCGTTTCTCTCGATCTTCATTCAATAATAAAACACCAACCAAATACCAACCACACCAACAAAACACTTTCCGCACATTTCCCATACAGGCACACACCATTATTCTCCACTCCATCGTCGTCCCAGTGCCCAGGAGTTATTGCTGGAGGACCTGCGCCATCATCAGCGCATCCTGGATGAGGGCCTTAAGTCCACATCGCTCATCATGAAGACCATGCGATCGGCCAGCGAATTCGATGAGGCAATGCGACGCCTGAGCATTGCCTCGATCGAGTCCGCCCTGATCCAGCCCTCCATTGTAGTACCCACGCCGATGCTGCGCTCCCACAGCTACCAGGAGGAGACGTCATCCTCGCGCCGCACTTCGACCACCTCCATAACGAGCAGCGATCTCTTTGGCAGTGCACTGTACGATTCGTTGCCTCGCACACCGTTGGCGCCGCCGCGTCTCAAGCTGCTAGGCAATACTCAGATACCCGTGAGCCAGCAGTTGACCCAGCTCCGGCGGCTGTACGATGCCGCCGAGCAGGACGAGGACAGTGCCGATGAGGAAGTGAAGCGATACTTTCGCGACAACAACAACAGCGACAGCGGCGGCGGCACCCAGGCCAGCTCCTCCCCGGAGCCATCAGCAATGCATCATCATCAGCAGGCGGATGTGTTCAAGGGAAGCGAGTACTCGAGCAGCTGGAGCCGCTTGAAGGCGAAGCGCACCATCTGGAAGATTGAGGCACAAGATCAGATGCTGCAGCGAGCAGGTAACATCAGGTTGATCCATTCCAGAGGGGGAGGGTGGTAGATGGTTAGAGGAGTTCATTTTAGGGATCAGGCACCATGGGATCTGCAGGGAGAGCAGTCGGCCATCGTCTCATCACCACTTCTCACTCTCTTCGTTCCAGATCTACCCAAATCGAATGTTATGAACATAGCCCTCCATTCGCCGCGTGTGGAGAAGCCCAAGGCCACGCCTCCCACTCTGCGCATTGGCCAGCTCATTCCAGTGGCCAAGCCGCGTACCCTCTTCATTCAGCCGCAGCCAACGTCTGTGGAGACACCTGGAGACGAGTCCGGTAGCGAGTCCCTAAAGATTGTCAAGGAGGCGCGGGGTGCACGCAAACTCCGCGAACATGAACTCTCCTACTTTGGAGTCCAGCAACAGCAGCAGCAGAAGCAGCAGCAAACGAAACTTGCCTCGCCCTGTACGAATCCCAGAAGAACGCTGCCTTCGCGCAGCAAATTGAGCCACTCGGATGAGGTGGCACCCACAACGACGACCACCAAGTGGCAGTTGCTCAACGATCGACCAGACCTGCTAAGGCACAGTCCACAGGACAACGACTACGAAGACGACGACGATGATGATGATGATGAGCACTGTTATGAGAACATTGCCAACGAGTTGACCACAACATTCCGGGTGAAGTCGCCCTCGCCTTCGCCTTCGCGATCCCGATCCCCCGGCAGCTACGAGCGGAAGACAGACCTGCAAAGGGATGCACAGATCCTGAGCGAAATGACCCGTAACGCTGATCAAACTTTGAAGGTATGTTCGAATGACTTCAAAAATAAGACAAACTTCTAATTTATCCATCATTTTTCAGGCTCTATCTGATGAAGCGGCCATCAAGGATCAGCGACGACGATCGTGCTCACTGCAGCGTCGCAGTGGAAAACCCCTGGAAACCATCGACGAGAAGGTCAACAAGGTCCACAATGGGGACCGCCAATCGCTGAGTGTGGCTCGTGGCACCTTCGCCTCGGAGGCGCGTCGCAATTCACGACAGTCCACGCCCTCGCCCACGCCCACACGGGCACGCAGCTCCTCCCAATCGTCCATCGAGTGCTGTCCCCGTGACCGTTCCCGATCCAGCTCCCGCGAGTCGAACACGCAAGGCGCCGGCTCCTCGGACGACCAGGCCTCCAAGCACCGGGCCGAGCGTCTGCGCATGCGCACCCCAAAACGCGAGAAGTCGCGTCACGAGCATCTCGAGCATCGGTCCAGCCGGCACACACACGCCAGCAAGCCCAGATCGAGCTCAAGCGCCACAGCCCATGCTGCGGTTGCCACTTCCTCTTTGGAGCCGAAGCGTAGCTCCTATCACAGCTCTCACCGTCATCGAGAGGTGGAACACTCCAGCGAGAGCAAGCACAGCTCGGGAAGTCGTCTGCTACGATCCTCACGTGTCAGCGATGAGAGTCGATCGCGTCAGAGTGCCCTACGCGAACGGGAACGAGAACGGGATAGAGAACGCTCCCGGGGCAGCGAGAAGCATCGCGAAGAGCTGACACGTTCTCGGGGTAAGTGATCTCAGGGACTAGAAAGGACTATTCCACAGAGGATCGACTCGAAAGAAAAAAGATGAATTGCTTATCTCTTGCAGAATTACTCGTTTTGGGCTTGCTTATTATGGGTGCCACTCAGCCCCAGAGGATGAGCAAACGTTATAGGTTCGATAGATGAGTTATAGATCGGATCAGATCAGATTAGTTAAACCAAACTAAACAGCGCACACATGTACACAAATAACGGACCCAAGAAAAAATATCTAATACCACAGTTCCATTAGCAGCACATTGGCGAATGATATTCGTTCGATTATAACCGATAATTATCGCTCGGTGAATGCCCCAGTGGAATAGGGGTTTAGCAATTTTAATTGTTCAGATCTGCCTAGGCACAAGTTATATACAAAATATCAGGGAATGAAATTGATAATTGAGCTATGAAAAATATCCAAAAACTATTAATTTTCATTCCCTTTACACAGCACAAGTATTCACACACCACACTCACAGTTTAGTCTAAAACAGTTAACAGTCTTGTTAAGTTTAGTTAGTTTAGTTAGTTATTAAATGGATTTCTCTATCCAGCTTATTTCAATTGTCAAAGCAGGCACCATAGATTGTTAAATTTAATGAAAATTCAATTACAATTTTCTTTGAGAGATCTAATAAGGCAATCCAATAACAGTTTCACTATCTGAAAGATGTACACAATCTCCCCCATCACCGTTTTACACCTGTACTTGAATCTAAACCAGTTAACGGTCTTGTTACTGCCAGTATATTCATCCAACAAAGGCTAATATATTTCTTACTCCTTCTGCAGGTCACTCCAGTCGCTCTAGGCCCAGTAGCGAGCAAGCGGCTCAGGCAGCCGGGACGCGGGAGAGTAGCAGACCAAGTAAGACGAGATCAAGTCGCAGCAGTCATGAAACAACGATCGCACACAAAAAGTCCACTTCAGCAGCAGCAAAATCATCAAAATCTACAACGCATAAGCCATCAGCCATCACCACAACTACAACTACAACCACCAGCACGAGCACCAACAACACCACAGCTACAACACCATCCACGCACAACGAACTGACGTACGTATACGTAACGAATTTAGCCCATACAAAATCCGGGGAGGAGTCGGAAGCTGAGGCCAACGAAATCAATGCAGATACAGATGCAGATGCAAATGGAGATTATGCCAGCATTGAGGAGATATCGAATGCGAGTCCGATGGTACCACTGCCACCGCCGCGTCGCAAGCGTAAAAGATCTTTGATACCAGTGCCCGTGCAGCCCACCGCCTCCTATGAGTACCGCACCAAGCTGGAGATGATTCCGCCCAGCTACTCCAATCAGTCGACGCTCAGGTGTCGCAGCATAGCGCGGCATGGCATGAAGAAGCCATCGCTGAAGGCCACCCAGTCGACCAGCTCAAGTTTCGCCTTTCTGCCGTATCTGCCGGCCAAGCGGAACTCTAGTGTTAGCCACGTCTATGACAACTATTTGCTGTACACGGCAGCCGGCGGTGCCAGTGCCAGTGCTAGTCAAAAGCTGCCAAAACTCCGTCCGTATCAGAACAATCTCAGCAATGACCATGCCCAACTCTTTGGCGGTACGGCCGGTACTGGTGCGGGTGCGGCTACTCGGGGTCCGGGTCGGCTGGGCGGCTGGCCAAAGCGTCTGAGAATGCGGCAGGTGCGCAGCAGTGTCTCCACCCACCAGCCCTTCGGCATCTGCACATGTTCATAGTCAGTGCTGGAGGCACACGCTCCATAGACACACAGTACAGCACAGCACACACTCGTAGAGAAATGAAACCAAATATACATAAGAAAATATTGTATCGGATACAAGGATCTCGATCTCGTCACACAAGTCACATTTAAATAATCCCAATGCACGAAAATGTTTGATAAATGTCTGAATATCCCACACTTCCTTCCACCCCACAATGATAAACATGATCCTAATCCCAGCCCCTCCACTGTGTTCCCTTACTAATACTAAAAACAAAACGAAAACCAAGCAAAACTACTGATCTGATCTGTGAGAGATTTTCGTTGCTAATTTTTTGAATATTGATTTTTTGGAGCGCACACAAATCAAACAAAATCAAAACAAAACAAATGAAATCCAAAAACCCAACCCGGCCAAAGCACACACGCACAAAAAGGGCAGGGCCAATGAATCCATTTGTTGGATTCGTTGTTCCATCTGGTTCTGTTTTTACTTTTCACAGCGTAAGCGTTTATTTTTCAAAATTTTGTTCTCTATTTTAACCCCCAAGTATGGCATGTTGGGTTGAACCTATGGAGAATGTATTGGTATTATAGTAGTAGGAACTAAATTATTGCATGGAATGTTTGGAATTAGTATTAACTTCCCTCTAAAATATCCTACTCTCTGTGATATATTTAGTTTTTGTCTCCCCAGTAAACCTTACCAAGTTCTGCTAACCTTTAACTGATACTTCTTTCGGATAACCAAATAGTCGTATTTTTCGTAATTAATTGGTAAACTGTTTAACCTTCGACTGGGTGCTGTTTCTATCCAACGAATTGCATGTTTGTGAACCATTAAAAACCCTACGTATATTAATATCCAATCCTAACTCTATCTGACTATCCACTCATGCACTCGTCCCCTCTATCGTATCGTATCGTATCGTATCAGTAGTAATCAACTCTAAAAACTGACTATGAACATGTTGCTGGAAACAAGAAAAGAAACCACAAAAGAAATCATCAATGAAATTGGAACTTTATAGAATACGAAATCAACATCAACATCAAGCCTTGCTCTGTTCTATTTCTCCTTAGCAACCTGGAACTACGTAGTTGAAGTAGCATTTGGGAAATACTATCTCCTAAGAACAGTAGAAAAACTATTAAAAATACAGTCTTAACTCTATCAAATATGCAACAACTAATCAAACTAATTTTTGTGTATGCTCCCTTTAGACACGGTAAAAGCACACTGAATGGACACCACCATCATCAGCAGAGCAGCAGCAGCAAGCATCATGGATCATCTGGGCATGGCCATCGGGATCAGCCCCATCATGTGCATAGCCTCACAACGACGACCATTGCGGCCTCCAGACATCAGCGGGATCGACATGGCAAAGATAGGAAATAATGGGAGCTCCAACGAAGCAACGAACTACTAAAACAAGAAATAATTAATTAATTTAAATCACGCATACACATAAAATATTTAATACATACGAGTAATACTAACCCCTGAACGACAACCCTAATTCGATGAGACTTTATTTGTTTTTGGTAATTTTTGAAATTTTCTGGCATTGTGAACAAAATTTCAAACAAATTACTCGCGATTGACAAAATACGATAAGAGAACGCCCCACTAACTGATTGATTAATATGTTCGATTGGACAAAATGTGACCTTGAAAATGTTCCCGATCCAGTTACAGTTCCTGTTCGCATTTCCATACATTTTTCACCTGCACCCCACAACCCCACAAACGCGCTTTGGCATTGCACTCGAAATTCAAGTATTAAAATTATGCCAGCAATTTCCCAAAATGAAAAACTAAACACTTAAAATAACAAATGATACTCATATATATTCTTCGATAGCATTTAGTGTACGACAAGAAAAAGTGAATAAAAATAAATACAAATATATTTCGATTATACTCATGCATAAACTGAATATATTGCACAATAATTGAGTTGTTTTTTCTATTTATCTGATTAGAGATTGGGGTATTCATTCCATCCCGATAGAAAGGCAATATCCCTATTGTCACTGACGCCAAACGAACCATAAAGGGCGGAGAAAACTAAATATGAATGACTGTCAACAATATCCTTGATCCTTTTTGTGGACTCCATCTTATAAGAGATGCAGGAAGCCCTTGCACGCCCAGGTCGGCTCACAAATAACGGCGAAAACAAGATATACCCGTCTAGAAAAAATATACTGGCCTCTAGGTCTATGAGACTCCATCTGATCAAGGATTTTTTTCCGATATCAGGAAGCCATCGTATTTCAAATTTAGTGGCGCTCAAAACCGTGTAGAAAAATATAACAACTATTTTCAGTTTTGTTGAGACCAGTCAAACAGAAATCAGCAGCAAGCAACTTTAAGGATTGCAAAAAGCCACCAAAAACCCATCAAAGTAGGTCCTTTGCCGATCTGGCCCTATAAAGCCGAGATATAGCATTCAAAACTTTTTCTTGTGGAAATTATGTTTTACGTGGCATATCTTATTGTAATCGGAAGATTCCTGTCAACCGATTGGAGCCCGCAAAAAGGATATCCCAGGTCTTTATCAAGGATTAGCCTGATCCTTGTTTTATGGATACTTTATACTGTATTTATATGCTTAATATTTTACAAATAATTTCCTATTTCCAAGGCGTGTCGCCACGTGTGCCACAGAATGCGTTTCTTGAATCCTTTTTCCTGATCCTTCCTGACTTAAGAAGTTAAGGCTCACTTCGTGGAACTACTAGTAAAGAAGTCCGCTGTGGAGGAAAACGAGTTTTAAAATATCTATATTCACCTTTATATACCAATTCACTTACGCATCTTGTTTGCTCCGTCGGCCTATTGAGCATAGAGTTGCATTACTGAACGTGGGCGTGACATCGCCCATGGCATTCGTACTACTGGGGCCTCCGATAATCACTGGTCCGCCGCAGCTGCCGTCTTGCTCTTGACGTAATGATAATTAGCATTGCCTCCATCTCCAGCGCCACCGCCGAGAACATAGAACACGGAACCAGGGATCACTAGTGCCAAAAACAGTACATCATAGTACATCTAAACACAGCCTTCCATTGGGATGGCATAGATGACATTGTTGCCACCAACGATGCAATCATTACAAGGCCAATGATGCCATTGCCTCCGCCACTGGCCATTCCGCCCACCCAGTCCATTACGTTCCGAAGCGTGCTAACTGTTGAAAAAGCTTTTTCGCAGCTTTTCAGTCCAGTATTGTATTCTACATGTTATTTTTTTATCACTAAAGTCACCCATACCACAACGGTCATATGTACATACGTAGTACATAGGGGGAAAACGACGATGTGTGTATGTGTGTGTGTGTTCACATTGATAATCCTATAACGTGAGCACCGGCGAACGTCAATGGTAGACAGCTCTCAGTTGTTGTTCAACCGTCGTCACGTCAAATAAGAATTGTCCACTCCACCTGCTGTGCCGTGAGTAGAACGATGCATAAATAAACGAACCGAGAAACCGAGTCAAGTGCCAACTGCATTCACTGTCTGCGAGGGCATCGATAAGGGAAAACAGTTCAGTTCAGTTAATAATGTATCTATAATGTATCTTAAAATATGACACATATACGTAATTATGCTTACAGCAGTGTCTAGCTAGAAACACAAAATTCAAGTGCGAAAAGGGTTCTAGCCCCCAGGTGTTATGACACTCGAATGAGTCATCCATCTGATAAGACGATAAACCTACAATTATTTAGGTTTCCTATCTAAAGGCTGATTGATTATCAAATTCCAAATCGTTAAGTTTATTTGGGTCTGCAATATTTCAGTATGCAATACGATTTTTCTGGTCTGATTTTGTTAAATTAAAGAAGACCCTGTTAAAATGAGTCAGAAGAGTCGGTTTTTGTTTTTTTAAAAGGGTCAAAGAACGAAAACCCCATGGGTCCAAAAGTTCCTGTTTTCTTACTGTTCACCCGTGCGTACTATTTAATTTGTTTAACAGTTTTGACATCATATTAATATCTGTCACGGAATAGCAGTCTAATTATGCACAAATCGGAGATAAGAAAGAAGTTTTTAAACTATTTATAGATTTCAAGCACTTTTAGACATAAACCAAAACAAAAGCCAAATGTGTTACATGATGAAGCTGAAAATATAGTCTGTCATAATTTGATCAAATAAATTTCATAAATAAGTTAAAAAATTTATATGTACATATTTCTAAAAGAGTAGATTATTGGATACCAAACAAAAAGCTAAGATAATAAATAACCTAGTTATTGAAAATCGAATCTTTATGAACCAAAACTTTCCACAAAAGTTCTTGAAATACATTTATAATTGAAGAGCCACTCTCATATTGATTTTTTTTGCCAATAGTAAATAGAAAAGGGGCGGTAGTGAATCCATCTAATAAAATATAAATAATCCAGCACTAGCATGGCATTGATTGAAAATTTGATTTGATTTGTTGTTGACCAGCAGTACTTCGACTGGCTACCCCTTAAAAATGTAGCGTTACCTTTTCTAGAGAATGTATACCCTTAAATTCATCAAATTCGAAATATTTATATATCGTTTATGGTATAAAAAAAATGTATATATATTTTTTTTTGGCGTGCTCTTATCTTATCGCTTACCAAAATTTTCATTTATCTTGTCTCAAATGGCGGTCTCAGCAACACCAACAACATCTAGCAGTACTACTACATACAGGCATACATACAGGGGCTTTGACCACATCTGGCTTCAAACAAAAGCATTTTACCATATCATTTGCCGATAAGACAACGCAAAAATTTTTTATATACATATACATATGTATATAGTTTGATTAGAAACGAGCCAGTATACAGTGCCGTAGAGGGTGTCTTTGGTTCACCTGCAGCGTATTTCATTAAACTTCTGAAATCAATTCGCGTCGGTTGTGTGTTTAACTTTCTAGCCGCCCAATCAGTTAGTTAAACTCTTCCCTTTCTCTATGAGATCTCGTCTAATTCGAATGATTGTATTTCATTTTTACAGATTCTAAACCGAAAGCGTCACCATGTCGATTCTAACGGGCAGCGCAAATGCGGTCAAGTACACGCTTTTTGGATTTAACTTGATCTTTCTGGTAAGTAAACGAATTCTTTAAGATTGGATGAGTCACAGCTTAGCTCCAGCCATAGGTCGGTTGATATACTTCCAACTGGTCGGTGTCGGTGGAGATTAGATCGACAAAGTGATTCTACCATGTACAAATAAAATACGGGAGAATCACGTATGAGTTGCATCCATTTATTTGCGTGTTAAACAATGTAAAGACAGAAATACCCATTTGATATAATCAATAGATATGAACGTTTTTAATAATTGAGCAACCTTCTATATTACCCATACCTATCCATATAT